AATAATGAAACTCCAGCTTCTGTTGGACTCATTAGCATCATCCATGCACCATCCTCAACACCAACTGGCAAGGCAGCATCGCCTATAACAAGTTCCTGGAATGTGGCCAGTCCCGAGGCAGCCAAGCTCAGTTGGCTGCAACCCAGCTCTGCAGGGCGTCTGAACATGTTGACATAAAGGAGAGCAGCAGGGTATCTGAACACTCCGAATAATGAGCTGGAGAAAGGTGACCACGGGCTAAATAAAAAAACCCTATAGATATTAGCTAAACAACTTTAAGCCACAACTGCTTAGATGTCAGCTGTTGGAAAGCAACTGCAATAGACATATTCTTCATTGCAGCACCATAATAAGAAAGGGCTCCGTGGATCCCAGGTATAGGCAACCTGGTAAGGGCGGATAAGAGCCTGTGCTCATTTCCATATGCCAGGTTTCACCTGGAGTGTTCATACATCTTGATAGATCACAGATGTTTGCTCCCAGCCAGGTCTTGTTATTTTATTCTACAAAAGAATACCTTCCTTTACTCACCCAGGAGTTACGAAGTGATAAATTAATTAGATGTCATACCACCGAAATCAGCTAGCTTATGCATATCACTGAAAAACAGAAACATTTGCTGGAAACCTATAAAGTGAACCAGAAAATTCCAATCATCCTTTCTGTATGATCTGCCTTTGTGTGCACTTCCAACATGAATTACCGATCAAGTAATTTGTCAGTATATAACTTAAATTATTAATATGTACACATGGTAAACTATATTTCACACAAAACTCTTACCACTGCTGATTAAATTACTGCTAGTTATGCAAGAACTCTAAAGAGCATAATGACTTTAATATTATTGAAAGGGAAGTGGTTAGGCAGAGGCTGGATGACCATCTGTCAGGTAATGATCCCTGCATTGCATGAGGACAAGGTTGGCGTGAAATGGACTTGGTGACCTTCCCAGGCCTACTATATGTATAGCACAGTCACTGAAACACAGGTACAGAATTTTCAAGAAACACAATATGGGTACGTAAATAGCCCAAAAATGAATAGACCACACTTAATTTTTCATTTATCTCAGGCAAACAATTTACTGAGCCTCATATTGCAAAATATGAGTTTGCATCCATAACAGCTGATAGTCTACAGAAGTTGACATTTTCAGATATCAGGACATACAAATCATATTATGCTAAATGTGCCATACATTCACCACTGCCCACATGAACGATGACATAGCAGTTGTGTATACAAAGTAAAATAGACGGTGAGATTTCATGAAGATCATGTAATGATAATTAGTGCTACCCTAAGAACCTTACATCTGTGATATAGTCTATTCCTCACGACAACCCTATTACAGGAGTTTTGTGGTAAAGGGGAATTGAACAACTGGCTCAAGGTCAGTCAGCTAATAAATAACAGGGCACAGACCCATCCTGCCCTGAAAGCGATCTGATCTGGGGCCCCTCACCTAACACTAAGCACCAAGCTTCCATTTCCCTTCCTGTTTCCTTACTTGGCAGTAACATTGAAACTTCTGTTGCTGGAGTTCACACCGGTGAATGTGGGAGGAGATTGTGTGAAGCCTGCCTGGTAGGCTAAGGAAAACTAATTTGAGTTTTAAAACGTGAATTGAACCAAGTTGGCAGCGCACTGCAAAGAGAGGTGCATGCACGCTGCTACCATTGTAAAGGGGCTCAATATTTCTGAAAGCTATTTGATTACTTGGAATGAGGGCTATAAAACTTTTCTTGCCCTTTGACTCAGTAATCTCAGTCTTTGGAATATACCCCCAAGGAAATAACACAAAAGAGAAAGGTAATTTGTTCAAGATGCTCATTCAGGGGCTATTTGTATTACTGAAAAACTGGAAACAACCCAAATTTCCAGTAGAGGACAGGGACTAAGCAAACTAGACTAGTTAGAAAAAGAAAAAGAAGAAAACTTTATGACCCCTAAAAGAATGGTAATGTAGACTACGTTCACATGTGGACACATATGTAAGAAATAACTTTACATTAAAAAGTAGAATACAAATTAGTAGAAGCATAACCTTGTACAACCAAGTAAAACAGTATGTACATTAACAAACATACAAGAGAACTGCGAATTTATAAGGAAGCATATCCCTCATTTCATTGCTGCAGCTTCAACAGTGGAACTGGCATATGGACTGTGATTAATAAACATTTATAGACTGAAATAATACAGAGTAATTTTTTAACAGATACCTGACTATATCTCTCACATGTATTAATGTGCTGTCAGTAAAAGCTAATCTTTTATGAGGACTTACTATTTGCTAGGAGCTCTTCCAACTCCTTCTTCTGTATTCTCTCATTTAATCCCCTTAGAGCCTTATGACAGAAGTATTATTATCATCTCTCTTCCAAGAGGAGGAAGTTGGAGGAGAGAGAAGCTAAGTAACTTGACCAAGGTTACACATGCTATAGCAGAAATGGAATTTCAACCCAGAGACACTCACTATATGGCCTGTATAGAACCATTATACCACAATGTCTTCCCATATTTGGAAGAAGTTTCTAGACCCTATTCTTTCCCGTTAATCATTTCTAGATATTGTGCTTTTCTTCTCCGCCACTTCTGTTTGGTTTACAATATACAGAATACTTGCAGGAAGGAACAATAACCAAATACCAAAGTTGAGATTAAATACTCTCCATCCACTGTCACCTGCATGAATCTACCTGTGCTAACCGGTAAAGCTTCTTCCAAGAAGGGAGACGAGAGTGGGGTTTTTAAATCAGGAGAGAGAATTGTAAAGGTTGGAAAATAAAATGCTACTGTGGGAACATGGGATAATTGTAAAGGAGAAAATTTAACATTTTGAGCAAGACAATACTCAAATGAGGTGAAATCTAAGAAATAAGTTGCCTAGGGATAAATAACAAAAATAGAAGAACATTTAAAAACTCTGTGGGAAAACGATAGTTTGAAAATAAAAATCTACATTTTATACTTGCTTAGTTTCTTATGTTTTGCAAAGTATTTATTATTTATTATCTTATTTAATTTTCCCGCTGTAAAATGGTGGCTCGTATAGTTAACCGGCAAGAAAACTGAGTCAGAGATTAAGTGGCTCATCCAAAATAGGCTGCTTGTCCTTAGCCAAGAAGGAACTCCATCCTAGCCCTTGTTCTCAGTAAAGCTAAACACTGATGCTGTTCAAGTCAGGTACAAAGCCTTGTGCTAGTCATCCCCGTAATTTATTCAGAGCCCATGAGCCATAGCTCCTAAGTCAATCCACGGAGAAAAGTCCAGAAAACAAATCTAACATAAATGGAATCAGAGATTATAATTAAATATATAATGGGATCCTATCAAATGAAAGAGGCAGAGTGAAGGCAGAACTACTATCTGTGTGTACACTAAATGTCTGGGAGATGTCATGGACGTGTAGTTGTTATGTTTGGAAAGGCACAAAGCTCAAATCCTCCTATCTAAACCCTTATAAGAGGCATATTATTATAGGACTCTGCCATCTTTGGTATAAAGTGCACAAGATAAGAAGTTTGCTTTATCTCTACATTCCATGGAAACATTTGCATAGTGAATGAGGTGGCCTACATTTTATGTGTTTCTAAACCCCTCACCTTCTCACCTGACTCTGTCTTATGAAGGCCTATGCTTTCTTCAGAGGTCAGATCAAATACCATCTCTTCTGAGAAACCTCTTCAGATTCTTCTGTTGAGACTAACCCTCATTTTCCTGGGCACCCATCATATTCCAGAACATCTTGTTACCAACCTTACCTTCTGCCTTGTGCAGCTCGAGGGTGACATAACATGCTTAGGATTTACATCTGTGATCCCTATAACCCCAACATACGTGCCTTGCACATTGTCGTTTGTTGAATTGGTAAGAAATTGTCTGAGGTCCTATCATGCTCGAAGGGTTGATAAACCTTTTTCGGGATTTGGGCTGTTTAAATTCGACTATAGAAACCACCTCAATAAAGGACTCTCTTCACTTGAAAATCTTGTTTCCTTATAATCATATTTTATGTTGGCCTTTTGTACCATATATTTGCACTAATTTACCTAATTTAATGCATTAAATTAGTAATTAGCACTGACAAATAGGAACCTCACATCCAGAAGGTAAAATTATAAAGTGCGTTTTTTAATCAAATAGGATTATGGTAGTCATCAAACTTAAACAAACTAATTTGAAATTTGCTTTTACCACAAATCTTATAAATATTCCACCAAATTCTATTTACTAGGAAGGGAAAAGCTTCAAAGCCAGAACTGAAGAGTCTCTCTTTTTTTGTTTTTGTTTTTTTTTGTTTTTTTAGCTGAGCCATCCTGCCACCTCAGCAGCAGCTCAGCGTGGGCCAGGCATTGAACTGCTGTTGCTCAGAGCTTGCATTCTTGAGTGAGCTCTTAACCTACTGAGCCACTCAGCTGGCCCAAGAGTCTCTCTTTTAACATGAGATGATGAATAAACTACTGGTGAAAGAACGTAACATTTCAGAGCAAAAAGTACATCACTTCTACCAACGTCAACTACTCCTCAGGGATAAAAACAATGTTCTGTCTATTAGTCATTTGGAATAACAGTTAAATAACATTCATGTTATTGAGATTTTTACATAATAACTGAGAGAACAATTCTTTGTTGTAGTTATGAAAACACAAGCGAAAGTGCTGAGCTTCTGAAATGCAGGCCATGTGTGGTGGTAGTGATCCTCAGTTAAAAGCTTATTATAAGAAGATAAAGACCAGGGACTAATAAGAATACTACTGAGGTTTGTAATGAAAAGCAAGCTAAGAAAAAGATAAAATTATTACTTTTAATTATACCATATTCTATGAAATATCAAAAACTTCCACCACATTTTGTATAACATGAGAATAAGCTCTTTGAGTCATGAATGGGCTAATCCAACAGCTATTCACATAATTCCTGTCCTTTTCAGGAAGAATAGCAATCAATGATCAAGAAGAAGAGTACAAATTACAAAAGGTATGAAATCTTACTTTTTCATCATCTTCAGTAAATGGCGCACCTTCAGGAATCTTATTTATAGCTTGGGCCACACCAATAATCTCTCCATCACTGCTTCGGATAGGCATGCACAATAGTGATTTTGTCTTGTATCCAGTCAGCTTGTCAATTTCATCATTGAATCTTCGATCCTAAAAATAAGACAGAGAGGGCATTAACTGTGTATGCATTGTCAGGGAGCAGAAGAGAGAAGTGTATTTCTATGTATGATACTTTATTCCTGGGAGATTTACTGCATGGATTTTTTTTTTTAAGATTTTATTGGGGGAATTGGGGAAGGCAACAGCGTTGGGGAATCAGGGAAAGGGAACAGAGAAGTTGCTGTCCTTTTGTTCTTCAGTCTAGTTGTGGAGGATGTCACTTCACTGGCCCATGTTGGTATTATCATTGCATTCTTCCCGGGTGAGGTAGTCAGTCGCTGGCCACTGGATGGCTGCTCACAGTGGTTCACGGCAGCTCTCAGGGCTGCCAGTCACTCATGCCAACTGCCAGCCATTCACGGTAGCACGGCAGCCCACTGCAGCAGAGGCTGCAGCCTACGCTATTGCCAGGACTCACAGCAGCCCAGCTCCAGGTCGAGCTGTTGTTGACCATCTTAGCTGTAGAGGGCGCAGCATCACTGGACCTCATGTGGGATCCAAACCTAGTCCTGATGCTCAGAGCTGGCATCCCAAGCCAACTCTTAACCAACGCACCACTCGGCCGGCCTTATCACATGGATTTTTAATGAAAATGACAGATTTGATTTCATGTTGAATTCATCAAAGGAAAATACATTAAAAAAAATCAGCACCACGGTTGTTAGCTATGGTAAATGAGGAGAGACGCTTTAAACCTAACTGTAATGACATAGCAAAATTGGGAAAGGGGCAGGTGTTTTTAATGGAGCTCTACACTATACTATTAACATATTAAAATATTTTTATCTCATACAGACAACTGGCTATGAAGAATTATATAAAAACACATAATAAACATATTATTGAGCACTATGAAAAAAATATGCAGAAAAGCACTCCTTTACTTCAGATCAAATGATCCTATAAAAAAAGAAAAGCAAAAAGAACCTACGAGCTCATAGTGATACTTTTAAAATACCCAACAGCAACAACAAACGTGTGGTGAGGAGGGAAGAGATAAAAGGCTTATTTATAGGATATAATCTAAAAATGTAGAAGGAATGATAAAATGATATCATATCTATTTGGGACGTACCAATATAATAATGGATACAAGCAAGGATCATCAATAGATGCTAATACCATTGGATGAAAGCTTATCGTTAAGCAGGATATTCACATAGTCTCAAAATGACACTCCAAAGATCCCTCATTAAATTCAAAGAGAAAAGATGTCTTTATCACAAAGAGATCTGGGGGACACTATCTTAAGCAAGTAATCAAACTACCATCATCATTAATGAGACAAAATAAGATCATGTGCTTCCTACTGTGCTGCAATGAAAAGGATACATCAGCAAGAAAATTAAGAAAATTAAGAAAAATGAAGATTATTGCTCATTCTATCAGAAACCTGGCCTGAACGCCTCAAAAAGGTCACTATCATGATAGACAATAAATAAATAAATAAATAAATAAATAAATAAATAAATAAATAAATAGAAATAAAATAAAGTCATGGGAGCTGTGCTGTTTTAAAGAAGACTTAAAAGGCTTGGGATCTAAATAAATGTGTGATCTTTCATTGGAAATTTTTGCACAATTTTTTGAGGGGACAAGTAGAGAAAGCTGAACATAAACTTTTTGAGGTAATACCAATCCATCAACATAAACGTTCTTGAGTGTGATAGTAGCATTGCAATTATGTAAGAGAATGTTCTTATTTTTAGAACATACTAGAGTATTTTGAGGAAAAATATCATAATACTTTTAACTTACTTTCAAATGGTAAGAAAGAGAGGAAGAGAAGGGAAGAGGAGAATGAGAGTGAGAGTGAGAGACTGAGGAAAGACTGTCTCCTAACGGTAAGGGACTAAAAATGTTCCAAGGAAGATGGTAAACTGGATCCAGGCTCAATGCTTCAAGGCAGGGACTAAAGTAAGGATTCTCCCAATGCCCTAGATCAGCGGTTCTCAACCTTCCTAATGCCGCGACCCCTTAATACAGTTCCTTGTGTTGCGGTGACCCCGAACCATAAAATTATTTTCGTTGCTACTCTATAACTGTAATTTTGCTACTGTTATGAATCATAATGTAAATATCTTTTTGTTTTCTGATGGTCTTAGGCGACCCCTGTGAAAGGGTCGTTCGACCCCCAAAGGGGTCGCGACCCACCGGCTGAGAACCGCTGATCTAGAGCCATGAATTTTATCTAAGGACCTAGGATAGCTGGCTGTGGACAAGCCTCAAGATGAAACACTCCTGGCCTTCTGACGAGGCCTGTGGTATCCCCAATATCACAAGGTCAGGAGAAAAAACTGAAAACCATTTGAATGTTGGTCAATAAAAAAATAAACAAATTATGATCTCTTGTTTTGATAGTATACTACACAATATAAATTAATAAACTAAAGCTACTTGTATTATAACGTGAACAAGTATCAAAACCCATGTTAAGTGAAACAAATAAGCTGTAATCTGACAACCTACATAAATGCCACCAATATTTAAAAACAATGCTCAATGTTATATATGGATTCAAATAATATAGCAAAGGAATAACACATGCATGGGAATAATGAATTCTAAACTTATGTAAGTGGTTACCTATGGGGAGGCAGGAAGGAAATTGCATCAAGGAGAGGTAGAGAGGAGGCTTGAACTCTACAAAGTTTTCCTTCTTTAAAATCAAAACAAAACTGTAAAACAAATATAGTACAATGTTAAGGTTTTATAAACTTTGGGCCGGCTGAGTGGCTCAGTTGGTTAAGAGCTCGCTCAAGAGTGTGAGCTCTGAGCAACAGCAGTTCGAGTCCTGGTCCCAGCTGAGCTGCCAACAGATGGCAGAATGGCTCAGCTAAAAAAAAATTTTATAAACTTTGATGATCTATTCTTGTCTAAATGTTTGAAACATTTTATAATAAAAATGTTTATGAAATTAAAAAAATAGAAGCTGATACAGGATTGAAATAGGGGAATCTAGTTAGGACATTTCCATGGTCCAAGTAAGGTGAGAAGGTGGTCTGGGTTAAGAGAAAGGCAACGGACGTAAGAAGTAGATGGTATGTTGGAAGTTGAGTCTACAGTACTTCCTGACAGATGATTGGTTGGGGATGGGGAACTAGATAGAGAGGAATGAATCTCAGCCTTTCATTTGAGAAACTGTATAGATAGAAGTGCCACGTACTGGAATGGGGAGATTGAGATGAAGGTCAAAGTCCACATACAAAGAAAGTAAAAAAATTAATAAATCAGTTTGTTAAACAAGGTGAATTGCATCCTGTGACCTAAATCAGTGGTTCTCCACCCTGGTTACATGTGAGAATTAACTGAGAAGTTTTCAAAACAATAGTGCCTGTGCGCCACCCCATCCCAAACTGAATCGGCCAATGTTAGGCATTGGCATTTTTTAAATGTGCTCATAAGTCATTGTCATATAAGAATAATTTTCCTAAATGTTAAAGATCTTAGTCACTAGTGAGATCGATAAAATTCATTGATAAGGAAAGCCTTACATTGGGGAAGATGAGGAGAGTGGTACGAATTCTGGTGGCCGCATATCAGTGGGTGGACCATGTAAGACTAGACTTGAAAATCCACTCTGGAGTATGCCTTGGCCTGTCTGCTCTTACCTTTGTGATCTCCGGATCACAAAGTCTGCATCTCCAGAGAAGGGACTAATCTACCAAAGTCCAATTCTGAGTAGACCAACCACCAAGACTGTGGGAGTATTCTTTGCCAAACTATCCAAAGCCACATGACAACAATAGAACAATTCAGCATGACCACAGGGCACAAAAATGTTATAAACATCTCTCACCCTCCCACCAGCCTGCCAACTCTCTACACCCACCTGACAAGCTTGTAACTCGAGGAGAAAAAATAATTATGTTGATATATGTGGTAAGTGCTAGTCTTGTAATTTAAAAATTGAGGCGATTTATTTTATTAAGTCTTAGTGGTTTTTTTCTTTAAAATAATGCTTCTTAAAACATGCTTTGTCCATGGCTTCATTACACTACTTATGGGATAATTCTCATAAATTAACTCAAAACTTGATATAATCCATCTAAGGAGAGGTCAGGAGAGCTGATACAATTGCACGCTTTCCTAATGTGTATTAATCTCTAGATTAATTTTCCAATTTTAAAAAATGAAGAAAGCTGAGCCCAAAATTGAGGTATAAATTAATTGTAGGAGGTGAAGAAAACTAGGGAAATAATTAGATGAAAGGACATATTAATCTGATGTTATAGAGGGAATGAAAGCTTAAAAACAGAAGATAGCAAAAAATAGATTTTGCTAGCCAAGCAATGGAGACAAATGAGTGTAATAGTGGGGAAACTTAAGGCATTGTGGAACACACAGCCAGGGGCCACATCTGGTCTAAGGTCAGAAAAAAAATCTCCCCAAGACAGTGAAAGGTTTAAGCTTATAGCCAAAGGATCAGTGTTCCAGGAAGAGGGAACAGTACCCAAAACTAGCAATAGAAAGGTGGTGAATTTGAGAAATTAAAAGAAGATGAAGAGGGCTGACCGAGTGGCTCAGTTGGTTAAGAGCTCGCTCAAGAGTTTGAGCTCTGAGCAACAGCGGTTCGAGTCCTGGCCCGAGCTGAGCAGCCGCTGAGCCACCAACAGGTGGCAGGATGGCTCAGCTAAAAAAAAAAAAAAAGAAGATGAAGATGGCTCTCAAGGGAAGTTAGAGATGTGACAGAAAAGACCAGCTGGAAGCTGATGAAGGGCACCTAATGACCAGGTTTAGAATTGCAAATTCATTGTAGAGAAGGGGGTGGGGGGTGGTTCACCAGAGGGTTTTAAGAAGATGAGTGGTAGTAATATGACTGATTCTTCATTTTAGAAAAACCACTCTGGCTTATGTGTAAAGATATGGTTGGGAGCAAAAGATCCAGGTGAGAGATAAACTCTCTCTGGACTGAGATGGTGGTTAGTGGTGGTAGGGGTGATGGAAAATGGGCTGAGTTAAAAGATATTTAGGAGGCAGAATCAATAGGG